CCAAAAAACCCTCAGATAAATAATTGAGAGTAAAAAACGTTTTAAATTGTTAGAGCTCACCACATATCCATCCTTGATACTTCATCAAATAAAAGAAGACAAAATAATGCTCCGACCTCAGTCACGACAGTACAATCCTCATGAAATATCAAGGAAACTGGGAAGTAAAAAGAAGCATAACTTTATGAAATATTTTTCTCTCTAAAAGGAATGAACTTCCAATTTCAAATATCTAAACTCGAAAGGCACGGGTGCCATGCTCATTAACCCAGGTAAACTGACATCACTGAAGCAGGCTCTCATGTGAATCCCCGGGGGGCTGTGACACGCAGAGCTTCTGTCCCGTAGGTGGGGTGGGCCTGTGGGGCCCAGAGGACACGGGCCCTGCTGGGGCAGCAGCCACCTGCAGGCCCACCCACCAGACGCTGCCTGGTTTCCGTTCATCAGAGACGCCGACTGATCAGCGACTAGGAAGGATGTGCCAAGCCATTTAACTCCAGTTCCAGTTCGCTCACTGAAAGCGCTCCTTATTCTATAGTATCTGCCCTTTCCTATAAATATCACAGAACGTGGAATTGGCTTTAAAACGTGTTTGCGCTGGCGGCGTTGTTCGGTTTGTAGGTCCTGTTTATTACACGAGGTAATGGGAAAGGAAAGTTGTCTAAACTAGTAGACAGAGAACTGGCACCAACCACTTCCTATTCAGCTAAGCAGCCTGGTCTAATCCTGGACGTTAACAAACCAGTTTTCACCTCTGTGGTGTTCCCACTGTCACAGTTTCTCAGTGCTTGAAACCTAAGAAATTCTAACCAAAAAGGTAGGGTAATTGTACCAATCATGTACATAACACAGAGTTAGCAAATACAGGGAAGCCACAAAAAAATTAGTTTTGAAAGAAGGTATTTTTTCTAACTGTAAGCAAAAGGAAAATATCATTATGTCATTGGCGTATTTAAAAAGTAAAGAAACAGAGATACATATAAGAAATTGTGATAAAGTACACATTTCATATCAGTGGAGACAGAATGAGCCATATATCCAAACACATAAGAAATTACTGCAATACAATTGCCTACAATATGGAAAAAATAGATTTAGATCCCTACCTTACACTATATACCAAAATCGATTTTATGGAGATTAAAGATCTGTTTTTTAAACAACCACTATAAACACAATAGGAGAAAATACAGAAGCATGTTTGGAATTTGGAATCAGAGTAGGCTGGCCTTTCAGAGCATGATGAAAATCCCAGTTGCTGTAACAGAAAAGTTTTATATATTTCCATAAAATATTTGAGGTTAAAGATATAATAAATACATTTTAAAAGATAGAAAAGTTGGAAGAAAATCGTCACATAAAATCAGGCATAAGGTTTATATTTATGTTACATAAAGAAATCCAGTAAGTCACTAAAAACAAATTAAATTTCTTCCTTTTCTGTTGCATTTAATTTCTGAAATTCCAGCTGAGCTGTCCCATTTCCTGAAGCATTCTCTCATGTTCTCCCATCATTCAGTCTACTCAGGAGCACCTCCTCTGGGCCCATGAATTCCACTATTACATGTACTATTATTACACTGCGTTATGTATTTATTTTTAAAAGTCTCCAACTATAGTGCAGACTCCATGAAGGTCATTTACCAAGCTCATCAAAATATCCCAAAGGTCTAAAGTTGCTCTTAACACATGGTATGTATTCAATAAATGTTTCCTGTGGAATGAATTTTCCTGGTTGAAAACTAATTTGGGGGTGGGGGGTGGGGAGGACATACTGTCTCCTCCATCCAGCCCTGCTGCTGCTGATACAGACTTCACGCCCCAGGACATGGTCCTTTCTCTGGCTGGCATTTGGCTCAATAAACCCTTTCTTTTAGGGGCAAAACAACACCACCAAAAACTAAATTTACCCTAAAACTAAATCCATTAATGAGAGATACTGTAATCCATTTTCAGAGTCATTAACTTTTGTAAACATCAATGAGANCAGTGAAGCAACGTCCTCCACAACTAGACTGAAGAACAAAAAGGACAGCAACTTGTCTGTTCCCCTTCCCCCAATTCCCAAGCGCTGTTCCTACCCCCCAATTCCCCAATACAAATCTTAAAAAAAAAAAGAAAAATGACAGCATCACTGTACGTAAAGCACTAACAAACCTTTGCTTCTCCCTAAGGACAAATACAGTCTTACGCTAACTCTCTGGCTCTTTTCCCTGGGACAGCCAGACAGCTATGGTGTCGCCAAGGTTACTAAGCCACTTTGCGCAGCGAGAATGCCCCTGTGTGTGTGCTGGAGGTGTGGGAACAGTGCAAACACACACTGCGAGGCCACAGCGGCGCGTCCCTCAGCATGGTGGCCCTGGAGACACGCGTGTGGGACCTGACACTCTGCCTGGGCACCTCACTAGCGGGCACTCTCTCTACTGGACCTGGGGCTTCTCAGCCAAGGCGGCTCCGGCCCCCACACGGGCCGTCTCATCCACAGCATGACCTACGGTCGTCGTGCGAGTTTTATATTATTAGCCAAACTTGAAGACGACGAAGAGCGGACAATGTCTACAACCGAGGAATCTCCCTCCTCAGAGTATGTCCAGGACTCTTACACAAATATACTAGGAGACATAGACAATACGTTTTCAGGAGAGCAGGGAGGAGCAAAAGCCCAGAATCAACCTGAATACCCTAGACAGGAGAATGAACGAACTGGTAGTTTAACCACAGAATATCATACAGCAGTGAGGATGATTAGACTGCATGTAATATATCTGCCAAGCAAGGAAATGTTATTTTTAAATTAATCAGTTTTCTTGACATAATTTACGTACATTTAGATACACAGATTTGAAGTGGATAGCCTGAGGAATTTTTATCTACGTATTCACGTGTAGCCACCACCCAGAATAAAACTCAGGACGTCTCCATCCCTTCAGGAAGTTTATCTCCTTTTCTTGTCAATTACCCTCTTTGCCTTCCTCCAAGAGGTAACTGCTCTTCTACCTTCTCTCACCATGGATCAACTTATCTGTAGATGAACTTTAAGCAAATGGAAATATATGTTCTTTCGTCACTTCTTTCAGTCAACATTATGTCTCTGAGACTCGTGCTGTTGTGAGAAGAGTAGTTTTTAAAGGTTATGTTGTGATTCACTGTATGAACATAGCACCGTTCATTTATCAGTTTTCCCTGTCGTTGGGCATTTGGGATGTTTCTAGCTTGTGACGACTGTAAACAAAGCTGTTACGGACATTCGTACACATAAAGAACAAGGGCGGGTGACGCAAACACCAGCGCTGGTGAGGGTGGAGCAGCTGGCGCTTTCACACAGCTGCCGCGGCGCAGAGCCGCACAGCCACTTGGAAGACAGAAGCAGCATCTGCTAAACACAGGCTGTCCTCAGACCACACATGTCAGGGTGCTCTTAGTCCTTTATTCACATCAGCCCCAAACCGGAAACAAAGCACACGTCCATCGGTGACAGGATGGTAATGTGCCACTGTCCACTCGGACACTGACCGCTACGTAGCCATGAAAATGAACCAAGCACTGCTTCGTGCAATGACATACAATCTCTCCAAGTGAGCCGAAGAAGCCAGCATATACTCCATTTATAAAGTCCAAAAACCAGAAAAATAATGTAGAGTAACAGAAATTAAAATAGAATTACCTTTGGGGATGGTGGAAAGTAATGAAGACATATGAAAGGGTTTCCTGGCACGCTAGTAATATTCTGTATCTTAATCTGTGTGGTAGTCATATGGGTGGGTTTATTTGGAAAAAATGATCAACAATACTCATGATTTTTATGCTTTATGTATGCTATGCTTCACTAAAAACAATCTGCTTTTTAAAAAGTCTAAAAAGAGATGGAAACCAAATGCAATTCAGGACCTCGATTGGATCCTCCATTTTTTTTTAATCTAAAAAAAATAGTTGGGGTATTAATTGGAGAAAATGAATCATCTAACAGAAGTATTTTTAACCTTCTTTTATGAAATCCTGCATGGTAGAGTGGTTATGTTGGAAAATGTCCTTGAGATTTAAGTAGGTACATGCTAGAACAATTAGGAGGAAAGTAAAATTATGTCTGAAACTTTTTTCCAATGAGTCAGGAGAAAACATTATACATAAATAAATAAGTATATTGAGAGAGACAGAGAGCAGGCCCATGAATTAACAGCTGCTGATTCTGGGCTGAGGGCACATTGGTGCTCGCTGTCTAGTCCTCCCAACTTTTCTGCAGGCTCAAACGGCACCAAAATAAACACTTGGTGGTGGAGACACAAACCCACTAAGCTCTGCCAAGCACCGCTGTGAAGGGAACATTACAACACTACAGGTCATGTGGTTTAAATGCTACATGAAAACTGTGACAAATTCTAGATTCTGATATCCACTTCCATAACAATAGTTTACTTTCAACAAAATCAGAGAAATAAATGTTACCTTCTAAAAACTGAAATAGGCAAACTGAAGGCTGATGGTGAAGGTTTACTCGGAGGATTAATAGACCTGTTTCATGAAAGAAAAACAACAACAACATATACACAAAAGGAAAGAGACAAGTGAGTGCATCAGAGCTTTCTCCAACAAATACAACTTGCTTCACTGAAACTCAAATCGCGAGTTGCAATCGGTGGTACCATTTGCTGTAGTCATAACATGTTGCCGCTACCTGGGTTTGCTTATGAAGAATACGTTATGCTTTTCTTCAGGAAGTCTATATAGTAAGTGACTTAGGGTGCGGGTGGATCTGTGTCCCCGCCCACTGATCCTGCTCACAGTCAGTGTAAATCAGATACCGTCAACCTAAACATCTTCCTAAAGGTTTTTTAAATAAGATATTAAAGAAAATACATGCAAAATTGAAAGTATGGATGAAAAATGTATATTACTGACAAAAATTACTGCAGTAATGTTTACATTTGTACTTAGTAATGTTCAAAAAAACAAGTTCAGGATGACTTTTTCAGCCAGTGGGCTTTTTAATGCTGCTTACTCAACCAAAA